AAAGATTCTTATTTTCAGATGATTATACAATAATGAAAACATACCTATGAATATTATTTTCTAACTAGCTTAGTTGGCTGCTTATCTCACTAAAGTTAACTGGCTAACTACCAAGTTACTACTAAGCAGTGACTAACTTACAAAGAATTTCATAAAGGTTCATAAAACTCAATATTTAACCAAAGCTGTATAAACGTCTTACCTGTAGCTTTGCTTTACATACTGTTCTCCCAGTGCTACATTTCCAGTAACTAATAATCCTGCCAGCAATAGGCCTTTTGCACAAAACAAAATATAATTTATGTGCACGAACACAATCATTGTCTATGCTACACAAGTATAATTCCAGGGTTCAACGGGAGGCATGATGGTTTATGGGAAATGTGGTTGTACATTTTATCTTATCACACCAGTGCCAATACCTCTGGCATGAGGCAGTAGCTACTAATGTAATATATTTATGGTAATTATACTAATTATATCAGATTAATGTTATAGTGATGCATTGATGTTAAAAAATATTGCATATTGAAGCTTTTACCCTGAACCAAGACCTCTCAGAAAACGTGTTCTTCATAAGAACAGAGGTACAACAACACACACAAACACATACACAACTCTTTAACCCCTCCGGGGGGTAGGATCGGCCTATCAGACAGCTGAGGTAGGGTGCCGGTGGGGGGGCGAGGAATATAAATGGTGCTCCTGGTTCCCCATTACTCTGTCTGAGTGGAAGATGGAGGGGGTAGACACATGGGGTGGGGTCAGGCTCAGGTGCTGAGCAGACAGGAGAAAAAAACATCCCCTCATCCTCCTCACTTCTGCTCTTATCTAAGTTGTTGCACCTTTTAGGCAAGCTACCTCCATCCATCTTCAGTTTGGCTAAACCTGAGAGCTACCTGGAGGCTACCTCTGTAATTCTATTACTCCCATCCCTGGGGAAGGTGGAGTATACATCACTGGTCATACTGACTATTATGTTCTTGTGAAATCAACACACTTCCCACTGTATGCCACTTAAGTATTATCATCTCTGTCCCTGACTTAACTTCCTTTGAGATGTCTGCTTCATCAGGGACCTTGATGAATCAAGTGAACCAGGACAAAAAGGATATTTTTAGACACTCAAAAATAGACTTGTAGTCTGCAGCTCTTATAGACTCTTCGATTATTGTCAAGAGGACGTGTTTGGGGGAAGTTAGCACAGATGTGTGTGTTTGCTTGCGGTGTTGTTGTTTGTATATGTGTGGGTGTGTGTGTGTGTGTGTGTGTGCATGAGAGCCAGGCAGAGATGGAGAGAGTGAGTTTCTTTGCCTGTCCCTGTGGCAGCAGGTGTGTAAATAACACCCTAATAAAAATGAGGATGAATCAAAGTGCAGAGGGACCTGAACACCACTCATCCATATACACTCCCTCCCCTCTTCTTTCGTCAAACTCCCGACATTGATCCCAGCTCATCTGCTCATCATCAACGTCCCTCAGGCTGCACAACGCTCACTCACTCCTCTCTGGTCTGCTGGGGCACTCGTTATAATTCTAGGTCTGTAGGCCGCAAGTGTTGCGGCATAATTTTGCCAAGTGTCCTGCTTCAGTGCGGGCTGACAGCTGAACCCAAATCCACTGCTTCACTGAGCCGGATTATAGGCCAGTGTGCCTGGTTTGCCTCGTTTCCCTCACTGTTGTTACCTGTTAGCAAAATGAGCCCTGGAACTGCTGAGAAAAGTGGGATAAAATGGCCTCAAGCTAAAGGTAAATTAACTGAGGAAATCACATCCATAAGAGGGAGGAATGAAACACTCATTTGCAGTCGAGGTAAATGAAAAGGTGGGCAGACAGTCAGCAATCATTGTGAAGTAATTGGTGTAGTGTGAAAGTTCAAATAACTAACTTCTCTTTGATTATATATGTGTAGCGAGGTACAGTATATGGTGGCAGCCTTAAAAGGTGGGAAACGAATCTGTTAATTGATTTCACTATATATGGCAGCGTTGCCGCTTAGCTACAACCCCATCCTACCATGTATGGAATAACAGGCCTTTGGTATCAACTGGACCCAATGTAACTCAGGACTTGTGCTAGGTTAATCATTATCTATCCTGAGTTTGCGGCCTCTAATTAAATACAAATGTCCCACCAGACTGTCTGAATCGCATAAAAATACCCAATAACCTCACAATAGTTTAAAGCTGCATTAATTAAGTGTTAGACTACTTTGGGGTAAAGCAACAAGCTGTAAACATATTATTTTACGGGTTTATCAGAGCTTTTTTTTTTTTTTTTACTGAAAACAGCTGCCTGAGATAGATAAGAGCTGTAACACCAAAAACTGGACCACGACTGTAAAGTTGTGGGCTGCAAACCTAAAACAATGAGCTGAAAGACCCTAAAACACTGCATAGAGCTGAGAAAAAACTATGACCCACTTCACATTACACATAATTATTAATATTGATTAGTGCATCTTGATTAGTGCATTACCTAAATTTACCTTTCCTGTCTGTCTTATGTCACTGTTCTGGGAACCTGCCTGTTGCCACCCGCCTCTATTTCTGACCTACTGCTGGTCTATTACTTGCCTTAACCTGTTGGATTTGTGTGTCTGTTTAAACTCACTCCCTGTTGCCAACTGTAAACCTGTTCATTTACCACAGATTTTCTCACAGATTAACGCTAACACAAACGGCTCTGCTTCAGTGTCTGCATTTGGGTCCTCTTCCTCGAAAACCATACCTAACCTAATTTTGACAGCATTTGGCACCAAAGTGGGGTGGCAGCTGGGATGGCCAGACATTTTTGGGGTGGTCACTGCAACCTTATATCACCCCTCTAGATCGGCCCCTGACCAGAAGCAGAGCACACTTAGAAAGCAGACTATTTAGCTTTTTTCATTAGTTGTTATGGGTCATTTTAATAAAGCTTCAAGGATGTTAATCAAGTGCAGTTTTGGAAACTGGCACATTGTGATGAGCAGGTTTTTATTTTGTTAAGTGAACAAACAAAAGGTGAAAAAAAAAACATATTTGTGGCTACAGTGTACAAAATAAACCAACAATCGTCTCCATATAAGCTCTCACTGAACGACCAGGGTAATGAAATGGCCAGTTAGTTACTCGACTGATTTGCATAATAATATTAGTCGACCTTTTGGGTTGATTAGTTGGGTTTGTGTGACTTTTAGGCAACATTGAGATTAATGTTTCCATAGCGGATGTTTAGTGGTTGTTTAGACCCGAAGATTTATTAAAATAGACTTTGTGATTTGGTAGTACCATAAAACGTTGCAGCCCAATAATATTAATCAGTGGAATAGACTCATTCATTTGGGAATGAGTTGATGTTCTCCCCCTGAGCTGGTCGGATTGTATATATTTAAATCTGCATAACTGCTATGGGATACAATGTTTTTTTCTTTTCATTGTGATGTATTAGATAATATTTGTCTTATTTTAATGCAGATGGAAATATGTGTGAATGTGCAGGAGTTGGCAGTGGCTTTTTCTCATGAACTGACGATGATTTGATCATCGTCAATCTTCTTCCACAAACAGAATATAACTAAAAGTGTTGTTGTATGCTAAGCAGTAGTTGCTTCTTAAGTATTTAAAAACAATATATAATGTGCGTTTGGCTTCATACTCACTCACACAGATGCCAATTATTTAAACAAACCACCAATGAGAGAAAAATAAAAATAAAAGTGGACATAAGGATTAACATCTGCTCAGCGTCTGTGTGTGTGTGTGTGTGTGTGTGTGTGTGCTCGCGCGCGCGCCTTACCTTGTTAATGAAGGACCCCCTCCTCTCTCCCTCTCTCTCCTCCCTTCCTCTCTCTCTCCTCCATACATCGGAGGCTGTGAGGCTGCAGCGGCGGCAGAAAGCGGTGCGGATCCCGGTGTGTGCCGATCTCTCCGGAGGGGGACCGGATAATCCAGTCGGACCTGTCAGTGTAGTGGATCTCCTCTATCTGCACACTCATAGCGGGGCCACTTTTACATTCCCGCCGGCGATTGTGATTTACTCACCACAGGTAAGGTCTTTTTGCACAAGTTTTCATCGCTCTGGGGCAATCCACACCTCTAATGAGCGTACTGACGCTGGTATCCCACCAGCCAGTGCACACGGCAGGCTAAGGGCTCTCTTAAATACAAATTTGATCATGTTGTTTGTGTGTTTCTTCAACTATGGGGAGCGAGGATTAGGGATAAATATCTACAGATTAACTTGGAAGTCACGTTTTAGCAGCCGACACGTTGATGAGAGTTGTCCACTTAGTTATTAGTCTTTTCCTCCACGAACGGGTCTAGAAGTTTTGATGCTCAGCAATAAGATGATTTGATCGGCCAGTTGTCAAAACACTAAAAGAGAAGTAATATCCAATAGGATGTGTGGAGTGTGTGGTGTGTAGTTGACTGACTGACTGACTGACTGTACTTTTCACAGAAGAACAATGTGTCTCAATGGAGAATAACTATGTTTACGTGTGTGTTATCCTATAATAAGTCTATTTTTCTACTATTTCCATGTGGCCTGTTTGCGTCCTTTGTGACGAATCATCACAGGTGGAAAAAAAAAAGATAAAATGACCAGATACAAATGATCAAACGTCTTTAGAATTCATTCATCATAAGCAAACGCTTATGCGTAAAAGTAAGTGCTCTCTGTGCCCACAATGATTCCTTTTCTTTTTGGCGCACCAGCAGCAGACTGCTCTGCGTCTTTACGCACCAGGAGTTTTTGCGTCGCCCCAAAAGTTTGAAATCATAGCTAATAGTCGCTCTCTGTATCAGCCTCAACACCGCCACCTTACACTCATTCATCAGTTTAACTGCTCTGCCCAACGCCAGAGACGCGCTTCTCTTCCATATTCAAAATCCCGTTCAAAAACAGTGCAAATTAATTGTTATTGGCTTGTTGGAAAGCTGATAGGACATAAATTAAGCCTTACCTTACATAAATGTATACAATAGTGTTTTATCATAGACCACAAGCCATAAAAGGTGAATAAAATAGTAAAAATTTATTTGTCAAACCTCCCTCCATAGAGATACACCCAAAGGGGTACCTAACAATGTGAAGTACTTCTAATACTACTACTTGAGTAGAGATATGAGTAGAGTGTTGCAGAAGGGCTAAAGGTTAAACTATGTAGACCTGAAGTGTTTGAAATGTCAATATTTGAATTGTATTTTAGCTCTCTGCTCTATACACAAAAGGAGATATTAAGGTTAATAGAGTTACAGTATGTGAGCTGAGCACTCTATACCCGTGTGTGTGTTAGAGAGAGAAGAGGAGAGGAGGGAGTGAAGTAGAGAGTTTTTCAAGGGTTCTCCAATCCAGTTGTTCTTTAGAATGACTCAAACTCTTCTGTTTTAATAATACATTTTAAATAAGAGCCCAATGTACTTATTAAAATGTCTTTTAATATTGAACATTTCATACTCACACAACGCTTAACTAGTTTTTAATAGCACCACAAAGGAGGTTCTGCTCTGGTACAAGCCTAAGCAGTATCTCCTGGTTCTATATAGGACCCTTGAGCTGTGTGTCCAAATCTGTAGCCCATACAAACACACCATAGCGCTCTACTGCAGCCTCTGGCGACCAGCGATAAGGCTCGAGGGGGCTGACTCCCACACTGAACCCTCCGAGTGCCGTGAGGCTTTTGGGGCAGGCTCTGTGACCACTTTGATTAGGGGATAATAAACCCATTTATAGAGGGCTTTCAGGTGACGTAACTCGCCTGAGAGGAGATAAAAGCAGAGAGTTTCCCGCTAAGCTCTTATTTCTGGCTACCACCAAATATCATCACAAACGGGAGAAGAGTTTGCTCTCAGTGAATTTATGTTAATGGTTGTAAGTTAGGCTGTCTGGAAAGTGACGGTAACATTCAGAGTATAATGTGTATTGTTGGGATAAGTTAACAGTTGCTAAAAGCATATGCTTCCTGTGCAGTTAAACAGTAGGAGATACATGCTGACGGTTTAACAGGTTACATATTTGGTTACAGACCAGAAGGTGGGACAGTTTTGGTTACTATTGATTCAACAGTAAATAATACTGACAGAGTTAGTATTAACGGCTATATTTTATGATCTGTTTAATGTGCCCTCTAGCAATCGTTAACTTTGCAACTAGACAATGTTGACCTCAGGTGACTCTATGTCTCCGTAGCAACAAATTGGACTCCTTTCTCAGACCATGGGGAACAATTTGTGTTGATGTGTTACCCCCAAAGCCTGTAATTCTTAAAGCGCTAAAAGTCTGTGGGGATAATTCAGTACAGCTCATGCTGATACACATTTGCAAAGAGCATTTTATGTGTTCATTTCAGGAACTTTCAGGGGAATTGGAGTTTGGGGCTTTTGGAAACAAGAGTTCACCAGTAAAACATGCACGTTCGCTTGTAACATTACTGATCAATCAACTCAAACCACTACTACCTGTCTATGTTATATATTGGGTTTTCTGGGCATTTTATATTGGTCCTCCAATATTTAAGCTAGGAGAACTGTGATCCATCTACGGAGTGATGGGAACCTGCCCCGTCAGAGACCCACACTTATTGATTATCATTGATCTTCTCTGAGGATTTATTTGGTTAGAGAAGTAAGAGAGAGGTCCACCCAGCCTTCAAAGTGGACAGTTTGCTTAAAGAGCAAATTAATACCCTATTTTAACTTGAATCCCCACAACCATGACACCCGTAGACCCCCCGGAGATCGACGGCTGCTGTGAATGTGACATTCAGGGGCAGAGGGTACCAAGTGTTGTAGATTTTTCAGAGATTTTTGGGGGTCTAGAGGACAGAATTACGGGATTGTTTTTATGAACAGTTTAATACTGTGACTGTGCATGTCATTTACTTTAGCTTTTTACTCTAAAGTAAGTTACTTTTCAAAGATATGGTGGTCCATTTGGTGTCGTCTACTGGACCCTGAAGGCCCCCGGACCTCACTTTTAGAACCCCTGCTATAATTGAATAAGGGATTGTCTGTTGCTAGAAAGATGTATGGGAAATGCTTTAAAACTGGCACAGCACTATGTATCACCAGGGCTGTGTTTTTAATGTCTTTAAAGTGTCCATGCATGTGGTGTGTGTGTGTGTGTGAGAGAGAGAGAGAGAGAAAGAGAGAGAGCGGGAGGGTGTGTGTGTGTGTGTGTGTGTGTGTGCAGCAGTATTATTAAGGAAATTACAAGTATTGGTTTAGGACTCAGTATCAGCCAATACTCAAAAGGCTATTAAACAGGGAACAGGGGCAAGACAACTTAACTGGGACATTTTTACCATGGTATCG